GGGGTTCCCTAGAGAACTCCTTGCTATATATACTTGAATAAAAATCCCAGCTCCCAAGAGGGTAGACATTAAAAAAAAAAAAAAAAAAAAAAAAAAACAATACTTATTGCCATGAAATCGGCTTTTCATGAAAGTTGGCGCTCGCAATATGCTATACATAAATAATAGTTAAAAAAATCTAAATTAAAAAGAAAGGTTAATACTACATTATAAAAAAAAAAAAAAAAAAAAGAATATATATCATTTTGAGTTAGTTTCATGCTGATTTGAAGGTCCCGTGATCATGTGATTCAATCATCAATCAATTGGAATGTTTAATATAGTCAAAGAAGGTTAATAAAATTAATGATATAATTAATCAGAAGAGTCAAATATGGTTTATAGAAAGGAATAAGAAAATAAAATAAATTTTTTTTCGCTTTTGTTTAATAAATCGATAAACGTGAACTCATACCTTTCGTATTGAGACATTGGTAATCTATCATATTTTGTCATGAGGGCCACGAAGTTTATAAATTGTATAAAAGGCTAAACTATCAACTAAATTTGCAAAGAAATTTATATAGTCTTATTTACTTATCTTATTGAACCTGAATTATGTAATTTATGCTTTATATCAGAATTAATCAATTAAATGAAATTAATTTCATAATTATAATTTGATTCAATTAACCCAATCTTGATTAAATTACTTATCACAGATCATATGCATGAGGCGATAACGATCGATATAAAGAATTCAACTAATAAGTACTAATCTGCATTAACTATTCAAATTAAATTGGATGTTATCTTTTAATACACAATAGTAACAATATGCTTAATGAGATAATTAATATTATATTCTTACACTTTAAGTTTCACACTATAATATTATTAAAATCGATAGTATATCTATGTATATTTAAACCATATTTCGCATATGAATTAATTACTATATATATGTCTATATATTTCACATACATATTAATAATAAATATTACTATATTCTATAATATATATATACGTATATAAGATGTAATGCTATTCAGAAATAGGAGGGAAAATATCATTAACATGTTCAAGATTTCTTTTCAAAAAAAGTATATGATTTACTAAATCTGAATGCAATTTAGTTCGGCGAGCTAAAATGTGAACACCTGTATTAGAAAAAAGTTTTTCGCTTGGGACTAATGTTGCAGGAACACCAAGATAGTCACGGGCCAAAGATGACAAAATTGAAAAATATTTTTATGATCATTCTACCAAGTTAGTGGACTATCATTTTCTAATGCCTCTGGAAAGTTTATATATTGTGTGACTTTATCTTTTTCAACCTGAATTATTTCTTGACTAGAAACCTACAAACTAGCAAATGTATCATCCTCTTTATTTTGATTAATCGATACTTGTGTTAATGAAGATGCATTTAAGTTACAACTTAATTCTTCATATTTAATTTGAAGTTTTTCTTGAATATTAATACATTCACCTTGATTAACAATTCAGAGACCTTTAAGACAAGGATCCAAAATTGTAGCTAAAAGTGCTACTTCATCTAGAACATTCCATAATTTATCAAGAGAAAGGTAAATTGCAGCTTGAAATTTTTCTATTAAACTAGCAAAATCATCATCATCATATTTACTTTCCTGTTAACTATCATAACTATCATTATAGTTATTTTCTTGTGCACGTTCATGTCCATGTCCACATTCACACCCACGTCTACATCCACGTCTATGTTCACGTCTACGTTTGTATTTACATTTACGTTTATGATCATTATGTTTGGCTTTTTTTTTATTTTTACAAATTTTTTTAGTTTTTTTTGAATATTGATAAGTATCAGAACTAGATGCTGAATCCTCAGCATTATTATCTGTACTGCTATTAATATCATTGGTTTCATCAGTATCTTCAGATGAAATTGGGCCGTATATTAAGTCTATATAGCTTTCTATTGTATTATCACCAGTTGGAGCAAACCTTCGCTTTAATAAGTACATATAAGGATATATCAAATTAATAGTAGAATATTTTGCACCAGAGACTTTTCGAGTTATTTCTTCAAATGATACCAAAAGTTTTGTTATATTTTTAACAAACCTAAAAATAATAATAAATATTTAAATAAAAAATAAATTAAAATAAAATAAATCAAAAAGTTAAATTAAAATAAATTAAAATAAATTAAATTTAGAAAATAAATTTTGCCCGGTTAAAGTCATCTGATAAAACTATAATGTTATTTACATAACTAAAATTAGTAGTAATATTTTGGGTAACTTTATCTCAGGTGAATATAGAGTTTCTCTTAAATTATAACTATTTTCATTATTCTAGGGCATCTGGTAAAAAAATTGACCAAGTAATTGTTTGGAATAAGACATAGATTTTAGTATGATAAGTATAATATTTCTTATTTATGTAAATAGTCTAAATCCAGTATATGTGTATATACGTTTTAAATTGATTAGTAAATTAAAACTCACATAAAAATAAAATACTACAAGGTTTTAAATGATCTCAATTTATAGTGCAGCAGTAGTAATTTTAATCAATAACTAATATCGATTTAACTCTGGTTAAATATGAAATTTTTGAAGCATATTTACTAAAAAATAGTTGAAATACCTGACTTTAGACTATCTTTATAATTAATAAATATTATACTTATCATGCCGAAATCAATAACTTATCAAATCGGCCAAACAATCATTCGATCAATTTTTTTTTACCAGATATCCCAAAAATAATAAAAACAACTGTAAAATAAAACTTAATCAAATTCTTTAGAATTAAGATGTAATTTATTAAGATAGTCACCTTCTTTACGAATTTGTGAATTTTGTGATGAACAAAGAGTGGCAACAACACTTCTAATTGTATTATCTAAATTTAAAATTCTTTTCTACACAAGATATAAACTGTTCTACCGTGTCTTACAATCAGTTAAAACCTCTAATAGATTCGAATGCTCATTATCATTTTCTATAAAATTATCTTGATCTTGTATAATATTTTCTTGGGCTTCACGAAGTCGTTGAGCTTGTTTGAGACTACAAAAAAAAGATTGTATATTTTTAAGCCATTTATGAATTGCTGTTATTTGCTTAATTCCAGATTGAACTAAAAGCTGAAGCATATATGCAGCACAAGAAAAACGTTTAACTAAATCAAATTCTTTTTCTAACAAATAACAAGCCTTAATCATATTAGAGCCATTATCCGTGACAATAGTGAATATTTTGTTTTCCAAATTCCAATCTTGAATAATTTTTATTAATTCATCCCTAATGACTTTCCCATATGTGGATATGGAAGATAATGACAAAATAAAAGTGCTTCATAAAACTTAAAGTTTGCACCAAGCCAAGTTGCCGTAATTCCAAGATATCCACGATTACTTTTGGCCATCCAAAGATCCATTGTTAGATTAATAGTTTGTGCAGTATTATTAATTAATTTTATCATTTGTTTATGAGTCCATGTATATGAATTAAAAATAATATTTTTTACAGTTTTGTCACATGGAAAAGAATAACTTGGTACACATTCATGTATTAATACTTTAAACAATAGACATTTTAAAATAAGTAGCGGTTGAACATCGCAAATTATAAAAGTAACCAAACGACAAGTAATTCTTATTTGCTTATAAGTGCTAATTGAGGTAGAATCAGAATTCGCTTGAAAATTAACTTTTCGTAGCTATTGTAAATTAAATATAAAGATATATATATTAGATATTATATAAAAAATAAAATATAAAATAAATTATTAACTTACTTTATTATGTTCGTCAACAAAATTTTTATAATTCAGTTCATTAATTCCATGTTCTTTTAAGTGATTGCGCAAATTAGTAGTGGAACCATGTGTTTGATAAATATAAGCTTCAGTATCTGTATCTTTGAACTTTTCGATACAGATTTTACATTGAGCAGTTTGTAAATCAAAATCTTCTACATAAAAAAAATGAACAAAACTATTACGAACTACATTAGTAGTGCGTTTTGTTTTTATTTTACGAACAGTTTTTTTATTTTTTTTAGTGGGTAAGGTTGCATTTTGATTATTAGAGGAATTTTGAGATTGTAAAGGCGAATTAGGATCAGAAGACATTTTTTTATTGATTATTTCAAATCTTTTTTTTAGGGTTATATATAAAAAATGATCGAAGCTAAAACGTTGATGATTCTTTTAACATTCGTCTACTGCTAACTTTTTGATTTTTTAACCTTAGCAAAATAAGAAACAATCATATTATTAATTACCACTCATGTGTTCACAAATCAGTAAATAACATCTGCTAGGGGTTATTAATACTGGAGTTTTTAAAATTAAATTTTAAAACCCCCTACCGTTATAAAGACTTATAATTTGCTGTCTAAAAAGTAATTGTTTTAATTACCCCCTTATATTTAATTTCGTATGCACCTGATTTAATTAATATTTGACATAATTGTTAACATGCAGCTGAATAGTTTAATATTTGACATGATTGTTAACGTGCAGCTGAATAGTATATATACCCGGATATTTACAATAGCTTAATAGTCATTGCCAAATCGGCTCTGCATCGCAAATTGGTGCTTGAGATATTATAATATGTGTGGTGTAATGGTTGAAAAGAGCCTAAACTAAGGGAAAAATAGTTAGTAGTGTATCAAAAAATAAAATAAAATAAATAATAATACTTGTCGCTTATTTTCATGTAAAGGTTCGAATTGTAGTCTCGTGATCACATGGATCGATCACAATAGTGTATTATATCGCAAATTATTAATTAACTGGGATCAAGGAAATAAATTGGAGTAATCGGTAATACAAGCATAGTGCATAAAAAATGTGATAATCAATGTGTGCAAATGTCATATAATTGATAAGGTAATCAAATATAAAAAGGAAGATAAAATAAAGAAATTAGTTCTTTCGCTTAAATAAATGCTAATAAAGTTGATAAACCCTACCTTTGTATTAGAACATTGGTGTCTGTTCTTTGACTTGCCTATGCTCATATCTGTGATCATATAGATCACTCCTGAAAAGCTGAATAAGGACGATCTTTTAACTGGTGCCACGATTTTTCGAGAGAAAAATCGTAATGAGAATATGTATGCCCTGGGTTGTAAGAATATTGTGGGGCTAAGACTGTGGCGAAGGCTTAGAAGTTTAGATCTGTATAGTTATTTATTTTTATTCATCATTTCTGTTTATTTTATATCTATAGATTCCCTTTATTTATTTATTATTGCATAGCGTAAGAATTAGACATGTATTAAAGCTTAGATGTGCCCTCAAATGGAGGTAAAAGGAAGTGTTAAATGTAAAAAACCTGGAACAATATTCCAGAAATGGACTTAGAAAGTATAGATCTGGTTAGACTAAGGTTGGTAGAGTTAACGGAGTTATAAAAACAAAGTACAGACATAGACTTAGGAAAAGAAATGTACTTGGTTCCTTGTTCGCTCTTTAAATAAAGCTTTAGACTTCAATGTCTTTAATATAGGAGATATTAAGAATTGATTTCTCGATTAGAGATTTCGATTGCTTGATTATACGAATTATAATAAGAATCGGATTCTCACTTGTATAAGTTTTCGTTATTGTATTATTACCTGACCCGTCAAAATCCCTAACGATCTTATTATTACTTTAATATTTAATTGATCACCTGATTTGATTTTGATAAGTGTATTACTACGTCATCAGTTTCGCAGACATTGATGTCCGTGAAGTCATTTACATTATAAAAATTGTGTTAATTATATCAAACCAACCACCGTGCACAAGTTATTACTATAATCGACTGTATTATTTATCTTAATATCCCTGTTCTAATATATAGAACATATAAGTTAACTATTGGAGCTAGATTGCGCCGATCTTGTCAAAGCTCTCCCAAACAATAACGATAGTAACACTGGCAGCAATATATGATTGGCGCACTAAGCAAGATTTTTGAAATTTTGTAGATTATTTTTATTAGAAAATTTATATAGTAGTTTTATTATAAAAACAGTGCGTTTTTAAAATGCTCTAATTATCATTCTAATAAAAAAAATTTAATTCTGTAACTTGTAAATGATATATCGATAGCATAGTTTTAAACCTATTTGAAGACATTTTCTAATTTATTGTATTAGCTTATCCAAAATTCTAAATTAATAATTTTAATAGTAAAATATTGTTATTTATATGTTTAAACTATAGAGACCTACTAAAATTCACATTTTAATATTAAATATGGCCACATAGGTTTAAAACTATACTACTTAATTATCATTTACAAGTTTCAAAATTCAATTCACTTTGCTAGAACAGGAGTTAGAACGTTTTAAAGATTGAATTTAATTACATAATGTAAAAATTTTTAGTAAACCGATAGTAGACCCATTAAACATTATCGAATAAGAATGAAATAAATTAAAAAAAAATCTTAAAACAATATAAAAATTCTAAATAAGGCTATGCAAATCCAATTTTGTCCAGAACGTTCATCTCTAGTTAATTTTATTTATCAACCCAGTTAAAGAACAAACTAACATTAAGGTTTTATAAGAAACATTGCAATTATATTAAAAAATCTATTAAAAATCACATTATTTAACTTTAAATAAGACTTGGCGTATACATATATTTGAAGCAAATACACAGAGTTAATCACGTGATTTGGAAATTGTTATATATAAAGTATATGAAAATTCGACCTTTAAAACGTTCTAACTCCTGTTCTAACAAAGTGAATTGAATTCTGAAACTTGCAAATAATAATTAAGTAGTATAGTTTTAAACCTATGTGGCCATATTTAATATTAAAATGTGAATTTTAGTAGGTCTCTATAGT